TATAAGAAATATCCTGAGTGTATGGTTTATGCTTTTGTTAAACTCAATCAAAACCAAAATCTGACAAGATCCCAGCACTATACAGAGTACCCAACATGTCCTTGAATAGTTTGATATACACGCGTTTTTATTGACAAGATGCGGATTACTGGTCAGACCCTCCCGTTAGTGAGTGAACTATGGTATGCAGGGTTGGTGCCAATATTATTATCATTTCAAAGACCAGTCTAGTCTCTACTGCACCCACGTAGTAGATTGTCAATAATTACACGTCATTCAATGTGACAGATCACAAGACCCAGAAACTTGCCTGATAATTATGCACACTAGTGTATCACCCAGTATACACACCCAGTATACACACCCAGTATACACACCCAGTATACACACCCAGTATACACACACAGAACGTTGGTTCACAGTGCAGAGTACATAATAATAAATATGAATTGCTCCTGTGCACGAGCCACTAGATACAACTACACAATATATACTTTAGCTAGAGTTATGTCGACATTTTTCATTAACCATGATTTAGCACAACTATCACAAACATTGGACCACAGAAATACGCACAGACTCCACCTATTGCAACGGTCAATGCAATACTAAGACATTGGCTTGTCCAAACTCTTGCAGGTACCACCAACAAACCAACACAGTATGTATCGATTTAGAGTTAGTATGTTGTGCAGTAATTAACTCACCATGCACAGCTTCAACTGTATGGGCAGTGGTGGAGGCAGTGGATCCTCCATTGCACTCATCGTTTATAATCTGACACACCTGGTACATCACAAAAGATAGAGAAAGCTCTTACGGAACCGCTCAACCCTGTTCTCTACGATCTACACTGCTACGCTAGCTCGCTTGAAACTACAGCACTAGCCACACACACACCCGCCCCTAGTGGCCAGACGAGGCACAACACAACAGTAGCTAGGCTTTACCGATCAAACGCGCCCAGCCCCAGTTCGTGAAAGAGTGACTATCCTACCTGTGAATGAAATACCTCTATGTATGTACACAGCACGAGCAAGAAAACAAGCTAAACACCATCAACGAACTATTATACGCAAGGCTAGGGGGCATGTACGTGCATTAGCTACAGTGTACGTACCGGCTATACCCACAGAAGAAACGGTGCACAGACGTCCGTACTAGAGCTTTGCCCTGGTCCGGTCTCACTACAGGTCCCCTATCTGAGCCTCGGAAGTACAAGTTGGAGCTTTTTAACAGCTGTAGACTGCGCAAAGTCGAAGAAAAGTCCCCCCTCTAAAACGTCTCCATTTTAGCCGTCTAGAACACATCCGGTGTCTGCGGCGGAAGCGATTTCAATTATAATTGGAGTCCGTCGTTTCCGTACGGAAGTGTGCGAAGTGTGCGAAGTTTGCGAAGTTTGCACTGTCACTGACACTGAAAAGAGGAAAGCGCTGCTACTGTCTGCATAGTTATGAAACAATAAGACAAATGCATGAGAAAGCTCCATCTACTAAATATAGAAATGGAGTTCCTCCTATATATAACTCGGTAAAAGCTAGAATGAGTTGCTGCATCTCAGATAAGAGAATTTTCAACACCAACAGTATATCTGAAGTGCAAGCTTCCTGCTATGTCCCAAACACATCCCTCTTTTATCACAAGTATAATACACGTTGTGTCCTCAATGGTCTGCAGACTGTTCCCATTCCCACAGAACTGGCTGCATTAGACCTACTTTAGTAGACCACCAGACCTTCTGGCTTTTCGATGCTTCCTGCTGTCTCATTTGGGAAGCTGACCACATTGGCTTTCCCCATGACATCCGTAATCCCGCATCACTTGATTATAAAAATATGCTTCCTTGATCCCGCTGGTAAGTCCCATGCAGGGATACATTATGCATGTGCGGCTATACACTGTTCTCTAGACATTCTTTCCCACCAGATGCTCATTATAATACGCTGCTAGAATTATGGCAATGCATTCCAAATCTTGTGTTAAAGCTCTGGGGAACGTACGTACAAGAGCATTCTTGAAATAATATTGTGTGGATAAATTTTTTACTTTAATTGGGTGGCCAAAACTGCTGGTGTTGGCGGCTCTCTCCTCTGTCTGGTCGAGAATGATTTTACAGCTGACATTCTCAACATGAGATGAAACCAAGCCTTGTTTGTCACATTCTAGCCGCGACCAATAATCAGTCTTGCGTGGCGTTGTGCGTGCAATGGGAAAACCCATGGAAAACCCATATCCAATTGTGATAGGGGAATCATCGGAAGTTCTGTAATCTCAGTAGCAATGTTTGATTAACCTCCTTTTACCCCTACCAAAAGGTTGTGCTTCCTAAATCACCGCTCAACGCACTTGTGTCCACTTGCTTTCCTTAATTAAGAGTGTTGTAGTACACTTGGTGACATACACTGATGCCAGTTGAACATTGGTCGTAGGCAAGACCGAACCGCACCTATTAAGAACATTCCTTCCAATATTGCATCAATCGTGATCAGTGTCGATTAACGTAACGTAAATTGCAAGAGTGAACATTGCATTTCAGCGTACAGACAACATTTTTGATCTTTCACTGACATTGAATAAAGCAGCTTGATCCTTAATACAGGTAAACTCCATCTAAAGAGCAGCATGAGACCGATAGCGAACAAGTACCATGAGGGAAAGGTGATTACGGTCTTCTTAAGTAATTTTATATTAGGACCTTATTTACTTCACCAGTTGATCTGATTATACTTAGTGAGATTCGCTGCGTGTTCCACTGGTATAGTATTCATTTTGCACAGCAAATTACAGAATAATGAAAAGTCTCTGTGCAGGGGCAAAGCCATTCTCAATAAGCCAGTTTCCCCCCAGCTCTCCATTATAGAAAACACTAGATCCCTCACCTAGTAACATATATGTACATAAATCCTAAACAACACCTCAGTGGTATGCTGATAGAGACTCTGCAAAAGTGTATGATAGAACGCGTTCCACATAATAGAAACTTGTGGTTGATGACCCTTGAAGTGGGATCATGGGTGTGCCAGGAAGCAGGCATAATCGCTGAAAGTGGGGGTGGCTTACAGGAATGCATACATAATACATAATTATGCAGTGTCGTCAACTTCCTCCTAAAACTATGGCATTCCATTGTGCATGCGTACCTTAACTCCCCCGACACAACAGTATTACGTATGCATGTCTATTGATCCATCCTATTACCAGAATAATATGATAGGTGTAAGCGCGCGTAAGTGCTGGCACGGAGCAATCTATTATGTAGTTACATATGTAGTAGTAGGCTGGGCCATATTGTAAGGACACAGTCTTATGATCATTATAATTATGAAAGGGGAGGGAACAATACAATCTCCCGACCACCTCTAGTGTGTTATAAGCCAATAACAAAAAAAGGGTATGTTCTGGTTCACAAGACTAAGGACAAACTACTGTGACCATGAATCAATTACAGAGTTACTCCGATGTTGATAATTATACTTAAGTGTTAGCACTATATTGAAACAAGTGTCCTTAATACAGAGGGGTTTCCTATACTCCGATTGTCCATTATAAGAGAGGATCCACCGTACATAGCCACCACTAGCACACACCCAAGGACAGAGGTTAGCCTTCGCTATAGTCTTATTTGGAAGATGAAGTCCTATGATATGCATGTTTCTACACCATTCAAGTGACCTTGAGCATCGATATGTCAGAACTATATTTTAGAGCAACGATTTGGGAACAACACCAGCAGTGCATTTCTTGGAAATATACCTCTATTGAAAAGGTTGTAGGTACGCGTGCAATGCCACTTTAGGATCACTAGATGAACATGTCAGTGGCGGATCTAGGATTTGAAAAGGGGGTTCCACTGTCCAAGAACGTTGACTGCTCGTGCACACACACGAGGCTGGCGACACATGCGCGCAAAACGATAAAAAGAGGGTTCCGCGGAACTCAAGGAACCCCCCTGGATCCGCCACTGCATGTTCTACTTTGTGTTGGAAACACGATGCCACTGATGACATTAGCCATGTATCACATGTTTTAGCTTCATTTGCATGAAGAGTAGTCACAATCACCCCAAAAGGCAAGGAAGTGTTGAAAAGGTTCTGGAATTTGAACCTAACGTTCCGTCACTGATCACTATGAGAAGTCAACTCTGTCATCCAAAGGCACTCATACACCTGTTTTTTCCACACTTGCTGATGAGCAGCGGACGTGTGCTCACAACCTATTTGCATCATGGTAACAGTCATTAGTGTGAGGAGAGGACGGATGTCTTTCTTTCTCTTCACTTCATTACCTAATTCAAGTGTTGTTCAAGGCCATAGCTGAAACCAATGGACCGAAGAAAACATTCAGCAAGTTTCACCTTATAGTTCACTACTAACTGCTTACTGTATTGTAGTGTACTGTGTGCTCTTACCTTATGCCTTATGTGGCTGGCTATAATGTTATGCCGTATAATATTATGCAATGTGTATACATCTATGCCCTTATGTAATGTAGGCGTAATTGATTACCGCAAATGTTCATTGCTGTACTCTTGAGATATTTGTCGGGCCATGTGCTCTCAGTCTAGAGATACTCCCACGACCAGTGAGACTTAAAACACTTACGACACTTTGATAAGAAGACGAAAATCGATTCCGTAACATGCGTACAATTTTGGATGTGTCAACCTTTACCGACTGCAAACACAAAAGTGACCTCCTATATATAGCTCGTTGACACTCTCAGTGACAGAGAAAGATTGTGAATTATTACGATTGCCGAGAGAGAGGGAGAGTTGTGTGCACATTATTGAACGTGACTTTTGTCTTTCCTCGACTAACTGTTTCCTTGGCATGGTATCATTCATCAGGTGCCAAGTTTCGTGAATCTGTTTTTGGTAAAAGAATCGTCTTGCGCAGTGTTGCTAAGGTCCTGGACCAAATCACCTGTTGTGTGAAGTGTCTCTGCTGTATATAGGCAAATCGATAATATTATATTAACCATGTGTGTATAGGTCAGAATCCTATGATCTAATGGCTACAAGAAGAGGTACATACATAATTATTATTGATGGAATATTTGCAGAGCCAAAGAATTTCTCCGTCAGTAGGTAACCTATGGGAGACACAAAGCCTTGTTGTCTGAGGAGCTACAAACCCTTCATTGGAGCCGATGTTCACAGCTAGCAATCACCCGCCACCTTGAGGAGCCAGCTCAGACTTGCCATAGCTAGCAGTAACCATGTTGACTATGTATAAGCCTGTGTGAGCCAACAAAGCAGTGTATGGGATGATTGCGTCCATGCATTCCCTAAAGACTTGGATCACCGAGTGAAACCACCGCAGCGGGTTTGCCTTAGTGTTGTAATTCAGAACTGTCATAATCCAGCAGAGCTATCTGTACATTATACTTTCACTTGCTGACAGACTTTGATCCTGCCTGCTGAACTGCAGTGGTAACTAAAAAGCGCCTCAAAGTTGTTCAAGGAAGCTCTCTTTTGTTTGTTGTCTTGGGCGAGTATTTCAAACAAATGCACTTGCCCTGTTACCACACTGCACTATGTCAATAGGCTGTCTCAGTTACTTTAGTACACTCGGAACATGTTTAGGGAAATCAGTCTGTCAACTCGAGGCATATAAAACTGAGACAGGTGTACACTGGAAACTGTATATTCTCAGACCCCTGACATTACCCAAAACTCTGGGTTAAAATCTCAGCATCTCATTTTAAAAAAGGTTTTGGACAGTTTCACTTATAAGCAAATGCACACAGAACAATACATAGTACATGGCCGCAAATGTTATTATCATCTGCGGCACTAAGATTAGACATTTATGATATATCATTGTTGAAGCACAATGTGGCATTCAAATGTCAGAGCCACCAAAACACTTTACGGGTCAAATGCATACTGAGTTCAAGATTGAATGTCATAAAAAAAAAAACAGGAAATATTTTTCAAAAACTGTGTAATTGTTCTAAATGTCACTCACAGGCAATATATGAAGAAAACAGCATTGAATTTCAGAGCTCTATGCCATAGAAATAGGTCTCTGCTTCACTTGGCTTTTAGAAGTCTCATAGGCACGTGATCAACCCTTGTCAATGAAACGCTTCGTGAAAGAAGGCTTTTCGTGTGTAAATCCGGATCGCTATAGCGCCATTGGCACGCCGAACGTCCAGTGACTCGCCCTGATGCCGGGCGAGTCGTTTCTAACGAGTCTGTAAGTGATTTTCGGACTGCTTGTCTAAGGTAGGTAGTCGATCAACAAAGGAGCACGTGAGATGTCATTAGAGGCTGTGGACACAAACTGCTTCACAGCGTTCCGAGTTTACTTGCAATTCGCTCCAAACTTGTTCGAGGGACAAAAGTATATCTTTGAAAGACACTGAGTCCATTTCTTGAGCTACATGACTCGTGGCTGTGGAGAAAACTGGCACTGTTTGGTTCAACCTGGTAATGACGTCACGCTCTCATTGCCCTATAGGAAAAGTACGTGGGAGAGAAAGCTTCCCAAACAGCCTTCCCAGCGGCCGAAAAGTTCCAGATCTTGGACAGGCGAACTAAAACAGCACTTAGAAAGGCCAGAGATCACTCATGGTTAGAAAAAGAAGCGTCTTGGTACGATACACGACGGCTTTTTCTGGCCCACTCGAAAATCTACCTGCGGATTTTGAGTCCGGGTTGTGCTTACTCGACGTGTATGAAGGGCTCGTTGATCCACAAGTCTTGGCCGGATCCAACTCAAACTTCATACATACATAGAAAAACTTATTTACTATCATATTTCCAAGTTTCGGAGCTCGGGGAAGCTCTCTCGAGATACCAGCAAGAGTTTTGTCAACCTATCCACGGTTCAGTAATGGCGACTCGAACACAAACTCGCCCATATCTCCCCTCTTCCTTGAGCAGTTACAGCAAAACTCAAGCAAGACAAACAACAACTATCCCTTTATAGAACAGCGTTGAAACCAGTGAAGCTGCTGCTACCTTGAGCTCACAACGCGGCGACAAAGATCACAAGTAGGCACAGCACCGTCTCCCCAAATAGCTCACGTATAAAGTGATCCGGATCACGTGAGCTAAATCCGCGGCGGTCCGACTCCGAAACTATAAATCTCTCGCCTCGGGCGTCGTTTGTTCATTCGTCAAGCGAAGAAGAAACGCTCCCGATTCTCTCCGAAGAAGATCGCTGTTCAAGAAGAAAAGGTCAAGATGCCGCCCAAGACTGATGTAGCCAAGCCCAAGGCTCCGAAGAAGGTTGCCGCCTCTCATCCACCCTACAACGAGATGGTCATCGCCGCCATCACCGCTCTGAAGGAGCGCTCGGGCTCCAGCCGTCAGGCCATCCTCAAGTACATCCAAGCCAACAACAGCGGCCTCAAGCCCGGCTACGAAACTCACGCCAAGATGGCTCTCAAGCGCCTGGTGGCCAAAGGCACCCTCGTCCAGCCCAAGGGAACCGGGGCGTCTGGCAGCTTCAAGATCGGGAAGGTGGAGAAACCGGAGAAAAAACCAGTCGCCAAGAAACCAGCCCCTAAGAAAGTAGCAGAAAAACCTAAGAAGCCTGCCACTCCGAAGAAGCCTGCTGCCAAGGCTACCACCAAGCCCAAGAAGACGACGACCAAGAAGGCCACTACTGCCAAGCCGAAAACCACTGCCAAGCCCAAAAAGCCAGCTGTCAAGGCCACCAAGGCTGCCAAGCCTAAGAAGACAACGAAGGCCACCACCAAGCCAAAACCAAGGAAGGCAAGTGGAGCAAAGAAGACGGCTAAGACTGCTCCCAAGAGCCCCAAGAAGTAAACTGGCACTGGACACTCATAAACTTTTCTTTTTTTCTCTTTCAACCGGCTTTTCTCAAAGCCACCACAACTCCATGAGATTTCACCTTCTTTGTGTTTTCCATTTATGTCATACCCACCATATTCTCTTTTTAAACCATGTTTGTTTGTTTGAAGAGTGAGTTGTTGTGTTCCTTGTGATCATGTTTGGTTTGGTCCAAATTAAAAACACGATGACAAGAAGAGTAGTGCTTTTGCGACGCCTGATAGTTGTGAGCATGCGCAAGTTAGAGTCGGTTATTTATAACCTTTGACCCAATAAAAGAATATATACAAGTGTGATTGTCACATGAGAGACGCTATAAGTCACATGACCGTGCTTAAACGGCTCTTTCTCCTCAGAGCCATCGATCGAGCAAGCTAGTTTTGCAACTACTGCAGTCATTACATGTGTAGATCCCCGCTGGTTGAGCGCGGGCTGCAAGAGAGGATATGAGCGGTGGTAGGGACGGCGGAGGCTCTCGAAGCACCCTCCTCGGTCGCTTCATCGAGAGCTTCAGGCGGCCTCCGAGCCAGCCGCGGCAGGAGCAGCGACCAGTCGAGGAAGATCTGGGTCTCAAGACTCTCAGAACCGTCTACGCCCAGTACACGCAGACGGAGGAGCCCGTGGAAAAGGAGCGGAGACTGTATACCATGCTCCCGCTCTTCCTCAAAAACTGCTCACGCCTCAAGGGGTCTGAGCTTGTGACTAGGTTCCCCGAGTGTCTCGAGTTCTCGGAGCATGTGGCCCTGCTGTTTGTGCGACACGTGACACAGATTTCTCAGATCCACGGCTCCAGAGGCAGCGAGGCTCTGCTCAGATTCCTTGGTGGAGAGAGTCGAGATGGCGAGGTTCAGACTGGACTGCTCATGCTGCAAGTCTTGCAGGTATGCCAATAAGAGCGTGTGATTGTGTATCGTTAGGAGGGACTTTATTATGGTAGTGTGTACTAGGGCTTAGTTTGTATGCAAGAGGTGTCACAAGAACAATTTGCTTGTGTTTTCTTTACTACCACCGGTGATGTTTGTTTTGAACTCTGTACACAAGGCTGTTGTTAAAACTATTGTACGTGTGCACCTTGTGTTGAATGCATGGGTGTGTGCACATGAAGCATGGTCTTTACCTGTCACACAGCCAGGTAACTGCTTTATGTGCATTGTGTGCTCGTTGTCTATTGATGTGCTGCCAAGTGTGACCTGCCCACCAATGCGGCCACGATTTGTAATGCACCGAACTAAAACCTGTGTGTGGGTAGGGGTAGTATCATACTCCAAGACTAGCCAAATTTTCATCCTTGCGTCGTATCACTACGTATATTATTGACAATGATGATGTGTGATTGCTGATATAATGTGACCATGTATAATGTACAGATAGGTATAGCTTCGTGCAACTCTCCAGTCTTGAGCTTGAGTGTCGTTCATCAAAAATTGGTTACTTGTGGTTAGGGAAAAGGAGGACGAGTTAACAGTTTCTTACTATGCTCCTGTCTCTCCCTCTTCTCCTTCCCTCCCTCTCTCCTCTCTCTCCAACGAGGTATTCTCTGAGGGACCGTCACAGTTGGTAGATGCAGTGATGACCAACGATTTCTCGTCCATTCTCGTTCGCTGTGTCCACCTCTTTCTAGACCTCCCTCCTCCCTCTCCTCCCACAAAACCAAGATCACTGTCCGGTAAGAGTCTCTGTGCGTGCAAAAATGTCTGCTGTATTTTAATTTTAGTCAGGTGGCAATTGTAGGGAAGGGAGGCAACTGACCACACCTTGACATATACAATGCCTGTCTGCACTCTGACTCAACCCATTTTGGGTGCCTCTGTACTCTGTGCATGCGTATTACTTCCCTGTTTGCGGGCAGAAACTGCCTGGTTAGGCAAAGTGCCCGTAGCTTTGAAGTCCTGCTAACATGTAGTGCCACCTACGACTGGGTATGGAAAATGGTTTCTTGTTTCTGGTGTCTTAAGGCTTCCTCGTAGCCACTGTCGTTACCAAAACTATTTGTGGTATATTATATACTGCACATGTATGTTGCATGCAAGTAGTACTCTAGTGGTGCTAATATAGTGGGGTCTTCATTAATGTTGTGTCGACATAGGTGATAGTCGGTCGTCTCCCAAGACTGAGGCAAGGCCGACTGGTGCCGTCGGAAGTGAAATTGACAGAGACGCTGACCCAGAGATCCGGCAGGCCCAGAGAACGACGCTGCAGCGACTCCTGACGTCCATGCTCACCCACCTCTGTCGGCACGCCTCTGCCGTGGAGTGTCTGATGAAGTTCAACGATCTCGCCTTGCTCTTCGGGGCCATCTCGTCTCCCTGTCTCCCCTACAACAGGATATGGAGAAAGTCTGCTGCTGACTGCCTTCTTGCCATCTTCAGGTACGTCATCTGAATGGCAGCGAACTGTAGTTGGACATATGTACTAATTCATCAGAGTGCTACATACACATCTATAATTGGAGAGCGAGCCGAGCCTGTATATACCTATTCGTCTGAATTGGTCGATTTTTCTACTCGCGTTTACTAGCCAAAAATCCGTTGCAGTAGAACAGGTTTACTTACATGTACCCCACCATTAGCACATACTCAAGCTCTGTTTCAGTAATATAATTATAGAGCAAGTGCCTACAGATTTTCCTGATTTCGTAACAGTAAGCAGCATTTTGAAATAGAATACGTTTTAATATTAGGTATGTACAAATATTTTCTAGTACAGATCGATGTGTATGTATATGTATGTGTATATATATAACAGGATGCCTTTTCCGCTCTCTCTCTCTCAATCTGTTTTCTTCGCCAGACACTCGCTCAGCAGTGAGGTGATCAACTATGTCCACACTAAGGGCTGCATTGGATTCTGTATCCGAAACATAAAACTCTCGGTGGACCAACCTCCCCTGGACCTGGTCGAGATCTTTGCCACCATCTTCTGCTGTCTCAAAGACTCCTCTGACATGTCACAGGTGTACATATTCATATAGCTTGTGTCATGCAGTTATGTGGGTAGAGAGCACAATATTGAAGGCAATGCAACACCACTAAATACGTCTGAAAACAGAAGTAGCGAAAAAGCAACGAATTGTATGCTCAGTGGTCTCTGTGTATTCTCCGGTGAATGTTTACGCATTCTTAAATGTCTGTGTTTATACATGCATTGGTGCTGTGCATGACTTCTTGCTAATGATCTATAATGGATGTATGTATATACACAATGCACAGTATGGGGGTTATAATACTAGGCGCTAATACTTTATACATCAATTTCTGCTTATTTAGGCAGGTATCCATGGCGTCCAAAGGGCTATATTCGTTTACAATTTTGTACAGTTTTGTTTTCATTTCTTCTTTCGTGTAGAATATCTTTGCGTAAAACTATTCATTCACGCTCTGTTTTCCACGAGGGTATATGGTGGCATGTCAAAAGTTCAGGGGACATTCTAACAACACTCTACTGTGTGCGGATGTAAATCACAAGGCTCTATACGAGATGTTTTATGAACCATTGTATATTATTATTATGATTACCAAAAGTAAATGGGTATTCGATAAGTTGTGAAATAGCCAGCTGCCTCCCTTCGTATATTAGCCAAGGACTGGTTATGCAACGTTGTGCAAGTCTGCCTCTTTTTTGTAATAGCCAAGTTCCCTTTGGCAACGTTGTGGATGTCCCTTTGTCCGTAACCTTGCAGGTATTGATCGAGGATTTCGCGGCCCATGGCGGACACAAGTTTCTGTTTGACTACCTGCTGTACCTGGAGAGGAAGGGAGACGACGATGCTAGGGAGGCAGTCAGGAATATGGTGTTCCTCATATCTGGACTTGTCACTGCCGGATTTCATCCTGGTAATGAGGGAGAGGGAAAGATTGAAGCGTAGAGTGAAAAGACTTGGGTTACAAAATAACCATGAAAGTATACTTTATATACAGGACCATCTGTACAAGTACCGAGAGTACAGGAATTTTGTGGAACCATTTTAAAGGGGAGGGGGGCAACCAATTTTCAAGGGGGGCTGGAAGAACCCTGCATGTAGAGCAGTTGTACCTCTCAATGATGCGTTGTGTGGTTGATGATTGTGTCGTGCCATGGACTGCATTTCAGTGGAGCTGTCAGTTACTGAAGTTGGTCCGTTTCAAGCAGAAGATTTCTCCATCCCGAGATCTGTTGGCCCTGGTGAGTATCCTCAACACTACCTCCTTTCCAATACTGTGTTATGCACCATGCTGGTAGGATGCTTGTGCTCTAACAAACTTGTTGTGGGCCCAGATGATGCGCACAATAACGTGGAGTATATGGCTATATTATATATCCCACTGTATGTGTACTAACGTAAGTTGACCCTCGGTGTGCTTGGGGCCCCAAAGTGTTTAACACTTTGTACGCCATGTAGGTATCTCCTTATTAAGTAAGCAGAAAATCATACATAAAGTAATTAGCGCCTAGTACTATAACCCCCGTATAAATTCTTATGGACTTATGGAGTGTCTGGGCACATTTGCGTCCGCGGCTGGTTAAGTGTTAACAGTTTAAACATTGTTACCTAACATTTGAGCATGTACATACTGTAATCATTAATGTTAGTGTTCTGTTCACGCCAGCCAGTAGCGCACAGAGCCACCTCCAAATAGATTGTAATGTACTGATAGTACACTACTATATGCCACCACTCCATTTCTTTATGTACGTATAGATGTATGTATGTATGCACGTGGTGTTGTATCTGCCACAGGGTCAAGTGTGCGGAACGTAAACATATTCCTGGTCCTGCAAGACGCCTTCATTCAGAGCCGGTCGTCTCACCTCGGGAAGACACTCCTAGACACCATTCTCAGGTTCACCTCCATCTCTCTCTCTCTCTTGCCGACTTCTCTTACCTCCTCCCTCACTGTCTGTCTCTCCTCAGGTCTTACTCTCCTTATTACTCTCTGCTACATTAGCTCATTCTTCTTATACCAACATATTTTTTGTTTCTTATGGTTTTGCAGTTCTTTGGGGGACTAGTAAATGTTAGCTAAGCGAAATGTGATGCTTGAAAGCGAGTGTGACAGTACATAAGGGCTAAATTTAGAAATGTTGGACCCAGTGAAAGGATGCACATAATTTCCGTTTTTTACATAGTTCTAAATTTAGCCCTTTATATACCACCACATTCCCCTTTATTAAATGCAATATGTACACCTGCAAATTTCCATCCTCTCTCTATTCTCTCTCTGACCCCCTGCAGCATCTACCGCAGTGACCCGGTCAACTACTTCGTCCTCGAGTCACAGAGAACGTTGCCGACATTCCTGGAGATCTCCCCAGAGAAACAGCAGCCAGTCCAGAAACAGATGTTTCAAGCTGTTGGAGCACGTGATGGTGGACCTCAACTACGTCCCCATACCGGAACTGACTAGTCTCGGGCTTCTCCTGCAGCAGAGAGAGTGAGCGTGTTTATGTGCTGATAATAGTAAGTGTTTGTGGGGATTTGTGGTCGGAGAGAATGATCCCTAAAACAGTTGCTGAACAGTGGACGTAGCATTATCACAACATGTACCGCCCCCCTATCAGAACTATTTCAGAGCTGCTGCCCGTACATTGAGTTTACACGCATTACACCTTCCCTGGAAATGTACTAGTATATAGGTCTTCCTGCCTTTTGTTGTTTGTAGTTTTTGCGCTCATAATAATGTGTTTGTTGTGGGTTGATTTCGGGTGCGTTTACAGGCGCACATTCCGCATGGTCTTGGTTCTGCTATTGCACTGCTCAATTACTGTGACATGCAGGTATCAAAAGACAGTTTGTCTTGGGTTCAACTTTCTCCTTCGACTCATTAGCCACACTGCCAGATACAAAGACGTCTTCAGAGAGGTATATACTGTATATAGGTGTATACAGGTACAGTGTTGTACTATTGGAAGAGGGAGATAGATAGGCCAAGACGGTAACATTCATAATGTACTTGGACGTTCTGTACTATACCAATCTCTGTAGTGTATAATTTTAGGTTCACAATACATACGTATGTCTCGCATTGCCCTGTCGCGCCGTGCCGCGTTCGTTGCGAGGATAGAATCCATTTCTATGTTCGCAGCAGGACGTGACGCGACACATCGTGTTGTATGCCATTCACGAAACAGAGGTCAAAGAAGGGTCAGTGAAACTAGATAGAAAAAGGTTCTGAAAGAAAGAGTGCATTACTATTCCATCCTCCAACGATAGTAAAACTTTTTCTGATTGTTGGCCTGTCTCTTCTTGCACCGTTGTTCTTACAAAAAATGCAAAATCGTTGACACCCCTATTTCATTGGCACAAGGATAGATTGCAGCACCTGCACTATAGCAAACACCTTACTTACTCTGTAACCTAACCTTACTGTGTGTGTGATCGAGTAATGATCATTTCAGGTGGGCATTCTGCAAGTCTTGGTCCGTGATCTCGAGACCTACATCACAGATCTCAGAGAAAATGAGGAGGAAGGTATAGTATGTACACACCCATGCATATAGTATCGCACTACGTTCACATGCATAGATATATAGTACGAAAAACTACTTACAGCAAGCATGTGTGTAGAGGGAGGCCAAACAGCCATTCTGAAAGGCGTTGACTGACTGGGCTTATAGCTGGAGTGTGCAATGCTTGGATCGGAGGCGATTGTCTAAACTACGGTGGCTTAAGGATTCCGACTATAGGTGGAAATGGTTTTAGGGTTGACTTATAAGCGTATACAGTATGCTTTTCGCATCATTTCTCCCTCTCTCCCTCCCCACCCAGATGATCAACCTGACACTCACAGTGATCTAGTATCTCCAAGTCTCCCTCTCAAAGAGCTGCAGGGTGACAGCGGAGAGTACATCTTCCTCCTCATGGAGTGCCTCAGGGCCACCATCGAAGGTATGTATATATACCGTATTAATATGAATTCCACAAATGGCAAGGAATATCTTTTGGTTTTTGTGCGCCATGCACCACCGTGCTCACTAATATATTTTGGTGTACTTTGCCTAAGTTTTTTGTCGCTAAAGGTACATACATACATACATACATATACATACATACAATAAACTTTGCGTGTTGATCAGTTTGCGAGGCACCCAGTTATTGGATTGGCAGCTTTGGTAAGGTTGCTGAGGGTTCAATATGACCATTTTAAGCTCCCCCAACAGTTTGAATCCCCATACTTTCTTCTCCTGTGATAACGCATGTGATACCGTGAGCAAAACGCGAAGCTCTGTATAGTGTTGTTTTGCTGAACTGCAGGCAACATTCAGAATGGGCAGGTGTTTCGTGAGTTGGGTGGGTCTAGACTGACTCTGGAGCTGGTCACCTACCACAAACCTCGACGGATGGCTCTTCGACTGATCACCCAACTAATACTGCTACCTGGTACGTAGGTATATACATACACAGTTGGTACTAGGTTACAAGGTCATAACTACCTGGTACATACGTACACATGTAGCACCTGGTACATATGTACACATACATACTACCTGGTACTGTATACGTACACATACATTACTGCATGTCTGATACGTATATTTATCTCATACCACCTGGTACATACGGGCAGGATTGCACTGCACACTCCAGCTATAGTCAATATATTGAAGATATTTGGTTGGCCAATATTTCCCTCCACTTGCTAGCGAAAAGTACAAAAAGTTTAGCTCATTCCCGAGGATTGCACTGCACACTCCAGCTATAGTCTAGGTATAGAAGATGATTTGTTGGTCTATCTTTCCCTCCACTTGCTAGCGAAAAGTACGAAAATTTTAGCTCATTCCTGAGGATTGCGCTGCAAGTACAAAAAGTTTAGCTCATTCCCGAGGATTGCGCTGCACACTCCAGCTATAGTCTAGGTATTGAAGATGATTTGTTGGCCGATATTTCTCTCCACTTGCTAGCGAAAAGTACGAAGAGTTTAGCTCATACCTTACGATTGCACTGCACACTCCAGCTATAGTCTAGGTATTGAAGATATTTGGTTGGCCTATCTTTCCCTCCACTTGGTAGCGAAAAGTACAAAAAGTTTAGCTCATTCCCGAGGATTGCGCTGCACACTCCAGCTATAGTCTAGGTATTGAAGATATTTGGTTGGCCTATCTTTCCCTCCACTTGGTAGCGAAAAGTACAAAAAGTTTAGCTCATTCCCGAGGATTGCGCTGCACATTCCAGCTATAGTCTAGGTATTGAAGATATTTGTTGGCCTATCTTTCCCTCCACTTGGTAGCGAAAAGTACAAAAGTTTAGCTCATTCCCTGACGATTGCGCTGCACACTCCAGCTATAGTCTAGGTATTGAAGATATTTGGTTGGCCTATCTTTCCCTCCACTTGGTAGCGAAAAGTACAAAAAGTTTAGCTCATTCCCGAGGATTGCACTGCACACTCCAGCTATAGTCTAGGTATTGAAGATATTTGGTTGGCCTATCTTTCCCTCCACTTGGTAGCGAAAAGTACGAAAAAGTTTAGCTCATTCCCGAGGATTGCACTGCACACTCCAGCTATAGTCTAGGTATTGAAGATATTTGGTTGGCCTATCTTTCCCTCCACTTGGTAGCGAAAAGTACAAAAAGTTTAGCTCATACCTTACGATTGCGCTGCACATTCCAGCTATAGTCTAGGTATTGAAGATATTTGGTGGCCTATCTTTCCCTCCACTTGGTAGCGAAAAGTACAAAAAGTTTAGCTCATTCCCTAGGATTGCGCTGCACACTCCAGCTATAGTCTAGGTATTGAAGATATTTGGTTGGCCTATCTTTCCCTCCACTTGGTAGCGAAAAGTACAAAAAGTTTAGCTCATTCCCGAGGATTGCACTGCACACTCCAGCTATAGTCTCGGTATAGAAGATGATTTGTTGGTCTATCTTTCCCTCCACTTGCTAGCGAAAGTACGCAAATTTTAGCTCATTCCTGAGGATTGCGCTGCACACTCCAGCTATAGTCTAGGTATTGAAGATATTTGGTTGGCCTATCTTTCCCTCCACTTGGTAGCGAAAAGTACAAAAAGTTTAGCTCATTCCCGAGATTGCACTGCACACTCCAGCTATAGTCTAGGTATTGAAGATATTTGGTTGGCCAATCTTTCCCTCCACTTGGTAGCGAAAAGTACAAAAAGTTTAGCTCATTCCCGAGGATTGCGCTGCACACTCCAGCTATAGTCTAGGTATTGAAGATATTTGGTTGGCTATCTTTCCCTCCACTTGCTAGCGAAAGTACGAAAAAGTTTAGCTCATTCCTGAGGATTGCGCTGCACACTCCAGCTATAGTCTAGGTATTGAAGATATTTGGTTGGCCTATCTTTCCCTCCACTTGGTAGCGAAAAGTACAAAAAGTTTAGCTCATTCCCGAGGATTGCGCTGCACACTCCAGCTATAGTCTAGGTATTGAAGATATTTGTTGGCCTATCTTTCCCTCCACTTGGTAGCGAAAAGTACAAAAAGTTTAGCTCATACCTTACGATTGCGCTGCACACTCCAGCTATAGTCTAGGTATTGAAGATATTTGGTTGGCCTATCTTTCCCTCCACTTGCTAGCGAAAAGTACAAAAAGTTTAGCTCATTCCCGAGGATTGCACTGCACACTCCCAGCTATAGTCTAGGTATTGAAGATATTTGGTTGGCCTATCTTTCCCTCCACTTGGTAGCGAAAAGTACAAAAAGTTTAGCTCATTCCCGAGGATTGCGCTGCACACTCCAGCTATAGTCTAGGTATTGAAGATATTTGGTTGGCCGATATTTCCCTCCACTTGCTAGCGAAAAGTACAAAACGTTTAGCTCATTCCCGAGGATTGCGCTGCACATTCCAGCTATAGTCTAGGTATTGAAGATATTTGGTTGGCCTATCTTTCCCTCCACTTGGTAGCGAAAAGTACGAAAAGTTTAGCTCATTCCCGAGGATTGCGCTGCACACTCCAGCTATAGTCTAGGTATTGAAGATAATTGGTTGGCCGATATTTCCCTCCACTTGCTAGCGAAAAGTACGAAAAGTTTAGCTCATTCCTGAGGATTGCGCTGCACACTCCAGCTATAGTCCAGGTATAGAAGGTATTTGGTTGGCCGATATTTCCCTACACTTGCTAGCGAAAAGTACGAAAAGTTTAGCTCATTCCTGAGGATTGCACTGCACACTCCAGCTATAGTCTAGGTATTGAAGATATTTGGTTGGCCTATCTTTCCCTCCACTTGGTAGCGAAAAGTACAAAAGGTTTAGCTCATTCCCGAGGATTGCGCTGCACACTCCAGCTATAGTCTAGGTATAGAAGATATTTGGTTGGCCGATATTTCCCTCCACTTGCTAGCGGAAAGTACGAAAAGTTTAGCTCATTCCTGAGGATTGCGCTGCACACTCCAGCTATAGTCAATATATTGAAGATGATTTGTTGGCCTATCTTTCCCTCCACTTGCTAGCGAAAATTACGAAAGGTTTAAGCTACAGAGTCCTGAGGATCATCTCTTCCCTCCATTTGCTAGCGTAAAATACTAAACATCTACTCCACCCTGTCTGTCATCATGCTCCCTCCTCCCTCTCTTTTACCACCAAGATGGCTCAGTGGACTTCAACTCTCTACTGGACCAGCTCAACTGCTCTGCACAGACAGCTGTCTCGGTCAAGAGTGAGATCCTGCACAGTGTCCTGAGGGTCTTTCAGCTGGATTCTCAGAAAAAGGCGGTTTTCAGGGAAGTGTGTGGATTCCACTACCTCATCTCCACTCTGGCTAGCCTCATTGGGAGCCTGGCTCCACGAAGATCGTCACCATGGGTGGGAGGTAAGCAGGGAATGAGAGGGGATCTTGACAGACAGATTTTGAACTATAACTATAAGGAAATAGGGGTACCTCCTGGTAAAGTACACACTGGACCGTGAAAGTGCCATTTATACACGAAAGTGCAAACAAGCCTTTATAAGAGGTTCACTATGTAAGATGTCTTAATTGCCCTCCGATTGGACAGAGGGTAGAAGCAGAGGGCAAGAGAAAACGGTCACGGGGTGTAGCAATGGATGAAACACGAAGAAGCAGTGTTTAATAGGAAAGAAAGTGTTTGTAGCAATTTTCCCTGGTAGTTGGAAACTGAGCCTACTATGAGACTACGAGGTAGAAAGTGGGACATGGATGGTAGACATGTGTATATTATACAGATTTTATATACTAGCAGTAAATATTGGCTACACAAGTGTCCGTAGGTCCTAATACTGTACTTTCTCCCCCAGTTCTCCGCAGCGAGGTGTTGAAACTGGTTCAACTTGTGTTTGTGGTCCTGATGTCTGCCATGCAAGACGACCCAGCCAACAAGATGTTCTTTGAGACAAATGTCAGCATCTCTCTCTCCTTTCTCCTCTTCATCTTCCTTTCTCCCGCTTTCTAAGACTTAACACATCACTTGCATTAATCACAACGTAAGGTATAATTATACTTGACTTGTGCACTTGCTGTCACATAATACGTACTTAAAGTTTAGCTTTGCGCCCACAGCTTCCCTGGTAGCTCAGTGGTAAGCGCACTCGTCTGCCTAGAGATCAAAGTGTCATGGGTTCAATCCTACAGCAGCTCTTTAATAAGTGTTGTGCTGGCCCGGCACTGTTACACTTCCCTTGCCCCATGTATGATTCATGTGTGTATGCATGTGTACATGTGTATGTACATGTATGTGGATGCCTGTGTCCAGATTCGGTTCCAGAGTTTCACGGCACCTCTCCTGCTACTGGGCTGTTTCTCTCGCCACATAACCCTCTTCCCTCCCTCGCTGAGCGAGGAGGACGGCGACATATCCTCCAGCCCCGGGTTCCAATCCTTTGAGGCAGAGTTCAAGACCTGGCAACAGCCGGGAGAGAAACTGGACGAAAACTCGTTTGTCTTCTCGGCGGCCGAGGTGTTTCGGTTCCTGCGCGACATGGCTCTGGATATCCCCATGACTCAGTCTACGTCTCTACTCCAGGTCTGTCTGTACTAACGGTCTGCTGGCTCTGAATCTTTTTCGAGTGTCTCTAAAACCTGGTTCACAATACTGTACATGTTGCTGGAGTCGTAACACGACATTATTTGCTACATTTTCAACATTGTATGCGACTTACATACACACATGCTCTTTGGCATGGTGTTGAGATTTTCACCATTTTTGATATTAGCAGGCCTTGACGATCGCCTGATTAGTATGGTGTTGTGTAAACTTGATGTACAAGATTTAGCAAACACATTTTTCATGCGTGAGTGCGTACTAAATGTGTGTGTCCCTCACTGGACAGGTGGGGTCTCAGAAGAGTGCGTTTATGACGGTGCCGTCTCGCGTGACTGGCCACCTGGTGCACCCCGGAGCTGTCCTCTGCATGGTGGACCTTCTCCCCAGTGTGCACATGAAAACACAGACCATGGCTGACGAGGAGGAGGAGGAGGAGGAAGAGGAAGAAGAAGAAGATGGAGAAGAAGAAGGAGAGGTATGTATAAACTTTAAACTATCCCGTGTAAAATAATCTGTGTAAAAGCGCGCACAGACAGCGATGGTTGCGAAATATCGCGCTTTTACGCACTCAAGTGGGAAGTCACACCAATTTACGCAGACTAACTTTAAAGTATGGTGTAAAATCCATAATGTGTACTGTGCATTTGATGAAGACGAAGTGTAAAATTTCACAGGAGTAGGTTTTTTGAATTAATGTATGTAACGCCTTCAAAATAGTGCTGCCGTCTGAACCAAGCCCCAAAAATCATGCCCGTTTTTTAGATTGCTCTATGCCCATATTGAATATCTCAGGGAGTTCGAGTAAAGATTTCTCTTTTGAGGAAAATGTTACGTTTTGTGTTCAGTTCTCCAGCTGCCATGAAGGAAGACCACAAGTTGTACCGAACTGTAACTGTACCGTGGTCGTCAATGGAAGGACCACTGTGGACCACCAGGAGACCATACCGAACCATCAGAACCACAGGGGGAAGGGGTCAGATGTGGAAATGTGTGAAACATCGTCACTTGGCAGTTATGGGTCAGTAATGTTGGCATGCCATTCACGAAACAGAGGTGAAAGAAGGGTCGGTGAAACTAGATAGAAAAAGGTTCTGAAAGAAACAGTGCATTACTATTCCATCCTCCAACGATAGTAAATACAGATTGTTGGCCAGTGTCTTCTTGCACTGTTGTTCCTATAAAAAAAATGCAAAATATTTGACACCCCTATTAGAAAATGTGGGGTGGATTGGCAAAAGGATAGCAATATGAGGATTGGTGAATCTAGATAGAAAAAGGTTCTGGAAGAAAGAGTGGCATTGCATTACTATTCCATCCTCCAACGACAGTAAAAAAATTACAGACTGTTGGCATGTGTCTTCTTGCACTCTTGTTCCTACAAAAAGTGCAAAATCGTGGACACCCCTATTAGGGATGGGGGGTTGATTTGCACAAAGATAGGCCATAACCCTCTAGTGCATGCGTGCCGAGGGTTAAAGTCTAACTTCTCCTTCCTTTTGTCTGCTCTTACAGGATAGCATATTACGTGTTCATCCCATGTTGATACACGTACAATTTTCTTTATTCTTTTTTTCTTTTGGCTGTTTTTGTTTTCCCACCGTGACAATGTACTGTGTGGTATGTTGATGTAGGGAGGAGAGTGAGACTGATGAGGAGGAGTTGAGAGAATCAATGGGTGTGTCTCAGAGGAAGAGACTGGAGAGAAACTACTGCAAAATGCCTCCCTGCGAGGCCAGGAAGGTCACTACAGCTGTATATAGCCATTTTAGATGTACACATTCATTGGAACGGCAAATTATCGTGGTCAGAGCATATTTCAAGCTTTTTGCTCTTGATTTTATTACTGGCGAGTGAAGTAAGTCTACTTTGTAATCGCCCAATGGTATGTCCAATGCCGAAACATGAAAAATGTATAGAGTTTCGAAGGTTGCAATTTGTGCGAACCTGTTCACCAAAACGTGTTCATTGATTGTTTCAGTGGTTGTGTGTGTGTGTTGTATCACATGCAGTGGTGTGTGTTTCTCCAAGAGCGAGTGGTGACTGAGATCTTCTCCATGGCCATGACCGAGAGAAACCAGCAGGCTCTCTGCCAGGTACACACACAATACCTATACTAGGAATGTGCACGCACATATTTTGCCTCGCGCCTGTCAGCCAATGCGTAAATAGTCTGACTGAGGCCACTCGTGCGCGCTCTCTACTGACTGCGTGCGAAGCCAGACTTCCTACGAATGACGGATGTTGACATTCCTAAGCGTGACCGACACGTACGTACGTACGTACACATATCGCGAGAATACAACCCGGAGTAGTAGCCTCACGCTAACGCACTCGGCAATCACTAGTAGTTCACGTGATTCTCTGTCAAACTTACCCCGTGCCTTTTTCCTCTTTTCTTCCCTTTTATCTTGCGGCTCCCTCCCCCTCCTCTCCTCCTCCAATGGCAGGTGAACCTACCTCAGCGTATCCTCCAGCGATGTGGCTCGGTCCTGGCTAACGAGGCACACCCTCTCCATCAAGCTCTTGAGAGAACTTTCGAAAGACTCTCCTACCAGTCCCTCACTCCCTCCAACTTCAGGTGTGTTTCAGCTAGCATTCTGCCTCTGACTTCTGCTGCACAGCAAAACACAGCAAGCCTAGCCTTCTGTTACCTCCTCTTACTTAGGGTACTTTTGTGTACCAAACCTCCCTTACATAGCGCATCCTGAGTTTTTAAAAATATCTCACTTGTACTTTCTTCTATAAAAATATAGCAGAGATTCAAATCTATATTTGCACAAGCATGGAGCATGTGTACCTTAACAACACAAGCCTTGTGCCGAGGGTTTTCATTTTAGTGCTTTTCACTTAATTACAGGAGTTTCCTTCGTCTTGGAGACCCTCTCTCTTGTACCATCAATAACATATCATTACAACAGCTGGAACAAGAGGCAACCCGGATAGGCCTGATCTGTAATCAGGCCGACCCATTATCAAATGGGCCGGCCAATCCGGAGACCCATCAAGTTGATCAGGAACCCAATACCAGTTCCGAGGTTTCGAAAACCAGTTTCGAAAACAAGTCAGACGATACTATTCTCTCAAGTGGAACAAGTGATAAAATAGCAAAAGACAGTGAAGAAAGGGTTAAAACCACAGACGCCGGCGGCAATCGTAAGAGGAAATATGGGGGCTCCCTCTCGTTGGCTCGTATCCAGAGTCTGGTGTCCATGACGACGCCACGGGCCAGTAACATATCTAGTGTGTTGGGAAGTCCGATGTTTATAGAGATTGACCATTCCATTGATGGGTTTGGCTGCCTCTTTCTGCCAAGTGTCTTTCCGCAGCAGATCAGCCAGTCTCAACAGATCCAAGGTAACAAATGGCAGGCAGAACATGCTGCAAACACTGCGGTACGCGATAGTGTGAGCGCTGCCGCGTTGCGCGGTGTGTCTGTTTTGTATGCGCATGCTTGCCTGCCTACTTCCGTTTTAACCGGAATTACCCATTAATTACCACAAAATGTCTTGCCGAGTGGGCCCTGTTCATTTTTTAGTTAGAGAGCTCGCTCCCCTCTATCAAATCTCACCCCATCTCGTAAAAAAGGCCTGGGGATGCGTACGTATTCATGGCAAAGTCTGGCACACATTGCTCTTCCTTTCTCTCTCCCTCTTTCCCCTCTCTCTCTCTCTCTCTTTCTCTCCCGGTTCCTCTCCCATATAGGAGTGGTCCAGTCCCCCAGTTCTCTGAGTGTCAGTACCTCGGGAGTTGGCTATGGCTCCGAGAGACTGTTTCCTCCCAACAACGGACTCACCTTCTCCTGCTGGTTCTATGTATCTAGGTATATTATATGTACCTAACTAGAACAAATGTAAATCATTTTTGGCAAGCGAAGCGAGCACTTCCGATTTTTTTGCATGCGTTTCACACGTAAGAATCACGTAGAACATTGTTCCGCATTGAGACGAATATGTAGGCTCACTTTGCCTGCCTACACCAGTGCTGCTCCCATTATGAACCTCAAAATTTTGTAAGGTTCAATTGAGACAAGGGGAAGAGCGAGATATCGTATTCCGCACTCCACCAATAGAAACATTAGGTAAAGTGGTTTGTTTGCCATTTCTTTTACTTACGGTCCTGCAAAAAAATGCAACAAAAACCCTAATTGGGGAGTCGGGGCAAGGGAAGGGAGGAATGAAGGTAGTTACTTTACTAACTTGCCCCTCTCCTCTAGTGTGTCAGCAAACGACGAGACACCATTTACTTTCCTCTCTCTCTCCCAAAACTTTCTGGGGCTGGACAACAAGACCATCAGCATCCCCTGCTTTAGGATTCTCGCCAACTTTACCACTGAGGTGTGTACAGTTTGTGTGTGCTCTCGTGATTATGAAAATTTATTCCCCCCTTGCTTCCTCCTTAACCTCTTTTTATCCTCTTTACCACGATTTTCCTTTTTGATCCTCCTTTACCATATCCCTTATCTTACACGTATCTCTCTCTCCCTCCTCTCCTCTTCCTTCCGACACCCTCACCCACTCTTACTCCTTTCTTCCACTACTTATTGCCTCTCTTCCCCTCCCTACTCCCTCTCTCTTTCCCTCCCCCTCTCTCTTCCCCTCCCTCTCTCTTATATAAAGTCCCTGACAGTCACTCTCCAACAGTCCAACAAAGAGCAGATGAGGGACTTCATAACAGACGACATGAAGACCGACAAAATTGAGACCGTCTCATTCAATTGTCCTCAGCTTGGCCATCTTCAGGTCTGGCATCACGTCGTGGTTTCCATGGCAAAGACGCTTCGACAGAAATCGAAAGTCTCTCTCTTTATGGATGGCGTCCCGCTTGGTGTGCAAAAGGTGCATCTACAACAGAGGGTTTTGTAAAAGAGCATTTTAGTGTTGTGCTGTGGTGTGTTTTTGTTTGTTGTTGTGTTGTTTGTTTACGTGTTGTGTTGTGTTGTTAGTCTCAGTGGTGTCAAGTCAGCATCTATGTTGATAGCCAGCTGGTGGGATACAAAAAGGTGACATATACACCATTCAACTCCTGTTCGTATTATGTGTTTATAATCTGTAATAATTATTTCCAGGTGTAATTCAGATTTACATAATGTGACATGTATGAACACCAGAACCTTTGACAAATTCGACTCATTGTTAACGCTCTACGCATATGCATGTACGTACGTACTTGCTCAGTTTTTAAAAAATGCATTTTTCGTGGTCCTTGCAGATGGTGTACCTGAGGCCGGCGTTGCCCCCGGAGACTGGATTCCTCCCGTTCCCCAGTGAGACGACGCCCTACCTCGTGTCAGCCCACATCGGGACTCACGTCACTCAGAGACACGTCTCAGACCTACTCATCAGGTGAAGGATTTTGTGTGAAAGTGAACAAAAATTTCATGAACTTGGTTCTTCGGCATGCATAATGCGCTAGAACCAAAGTATTGACGTTTATAATTTATACAATTTCATAAAAATTCGAGAAAACTGGGAAAGGTTTTTCTTTGGTGGTATATCTGGTGAGATAAAGGCGTGTTCATGCAGAGATTTACTGTGGTTTATGTACGTTAAGTCTATAGTCATGCTAGTAACATTTTACGTTCAGCTCATTGGTGGTGCATGGGAGGGTACTAATATCCTGTGACCTCTGACCTCTAGACTGGGCCCGATATACTTGTTTGACGAGCCGGTGGGACCGCAGACAGCCGGTGCCATCCACAAACTTGGCCCCTCCTACTTTGGCTCCTTCCAGGCCCCCGTCCTGGGAGACACCTCTGTGAGTTCAATCCCATACTTTGAATTCCCGTGTGAAATAATCACACATCCACCGGCGGCTGCGAAAATCGCGCTTTTGCGTGCTGGAGCGGGTAGTCACGCCAAAACACGTGGAAGGGTATAAATCCACGCGTTATGACATGACTACCAGTTCGAGCACGCAAAAGCCCGCGGATGTGCGCACATTCACTCGTTGATTTGAACCGGGAAAAATAATAAACTGATCGAGAACATCTCTTTATAATGATGTTCTCTTCAGCTCTCCTCTCTGCTGTCTCCCGGGGCAGTTGGTGATCCTCTGCCTCCACTGATACCTGAAGACAGAGTCGTGTTTGGAGTGTCCAGCCTCTACTCCTACCACCAAGTACCGTGGCTGAACTCAGCAAGACCTACTCTAACCATCGACACTGCCACCATCGCTAGAGAGGTAACATGGAACCACATTAATTGAGTACAATTGTGAGTGCGAGTGAGTTAAACTATATATATATTATGCTCAAACAGAGTCACTTGACCATAGTGTTTCCATGTGTATTAGAACGGTTGTGTTAATAAAGTATTGCACAGTAATCACCCCTTATTTGTATATCACAGCTAACATTTATAGAGTGTTGAGCTTATATACAGTTGCTGGCAGGCCGATTTTAAGACTTAAAACTAAAAGGATATTGGCTGGCCCACGAGACTATGATAGCCTTTTACAGCACCTTTTTGTCAAGTCTCTCTATCTATAGTAGGACTAGCTACAGTATAAAGGATCCCTATTCCCACTGTACCTCTGCAGCTCCTCCTGGCAGAGAATGACGACGCCACACACCGGTCCAGCTACTCCACAACACCAGTTTCCACCTGTTTGGTCCGGCCCCTCAGCCTCTGAGCCGTCATGTGCGGCTACTCAGGTCTCAGATCCTTCCAACCACAGGTATATACACACTTAATGTATATATGCACACACGTGATGCCTTCGTGCTTGCTTTTTACATGTAATATGCTTTACTATTGTACACTATTATGATCCTTTTAGCACCATTCGTATTATTCTAGTAGATTGTACACTATAGTACGGACTAGCTTGTATGGTTAAGAGTTTGTGTCAATAATTTTTACAACGAATTGCATTCACTGGATGTTTCATTTTGCTATGCAGCCGTTGCGAAACCTTCTCTCGTCAGTGGGCGGGACCTCCGTCATGCTGGGCCTGGTAGCCATGGCAACCTCTGTCGACGCCCTCTACGCCAGCATGAAGGCGTTGGTGTGCATCGTCGGGAACAACCAGACGGCTCTAAAGGAGATGGAGAGGACCGGTGGCTTCCAGGTAACATTTGGCGAGTGGAGCAAGCCTACCTAGTGTTTGGAAATATTTCTTCATACACGGATAAATAGATTCATGATAAATTAGACTGCAAGGCCTGAGCACCCTTGTGTTGTGGCGTTCCGAGCACAACGAAGACACTACATAAATGGCATGAGGGCTTCTAGCACACTTAGATTTCAACCGACGAGATGACAAACTTCCATTTTTAGCAATTGTCTGACGCGCATGCATGCGTGTGCGACTTGCACCGGGAAACGACGCCGTGGGCAGTTAGTAAACCTGGTGCGAGTTCTGCGAGATGCAGTAAACACATTTTCATTCTTGAATGCATACTTTACTCGCGTCCCCCAGGTGCTGGGTATGTTACTCCGGGGTAAGAGTCACCTCATCAACGGAAACATCCTCCATCTCACCTTCACCCTCGTGGGCACCGTCGACTCCCGAACACGAGAATTCCTGCATCCCCAATCCCATCGCCTTCAGAGACCTACTAGCCGGTGGGTACTGAAACCTATAGTGTGTGTGAGAAAGCAATAGTTGCCGAGCGCGTTAGCGTGAGGCAACTACTCCAGGTTGTATTCTCGCGATATGCATACGTACGTACGTGTCGGTCACGCTTAAGAATGTCAATTAGTCACGCTTAGGAATGTCAACTTCCGTCATTCGTAGGAAGTCTAGCTTC